GCCAAAAAGACAGGCAATTATATAAGACACACGAGGCATGTGCTTATTTTGATTTAATTTCCCTTTTAAGACTCACCCACACACACCCACACACACACACACGCGCACACACAGGACGCACACTGGTGTCCAACATTATTTACATATTTGATTGGGAAAATCTCTACAGCTGCAGAGCAGAAGGAACAGAACAGAGAGAGTGGTAAGCTTTTCCCCCATTTTCACCATTTTAACATTTTACCTTTTCAACTTGGCTTTAGCTTTGGCTTCGGCTTCATCTTCTTCTTTCCACATGTTTCCTTTCCTTTGTTTACGATTTCCTTCGAAGTGGAAATCAAATTAGTGCCGTAGTAAAATTCATTTTCGAGTAAATTTGCACAAATTTCTCCCTTTGTTATGGCAATGACTGGTATCTGGATGCCAGAGAGCGAGCCACAGAGAGAGAGAGTCTTTAAAGAAGTGCCTTGTGGTATGGGAAGGACCATTAAAACAATTGACATATTTTAGAGAAGAATTTGGGGTATTTTTCTCTTTTTTAAAAAAATATTTCCATATACTCACAGAGAGCGGATTACCTCTCTGTCTTTTTTTCCCCCTCAGCCGCTAGCTCTATACTAGTGACACTCGTACTGATAAAAAAGATCTTTAGGGGTCTTTCGGATTGAACTTTCATTTGTAGATCAAATTTGTACAGGTAATTTTCGTACTTTTTTACCCCTAGTTTTCTTTGAGTTTTCAGCTCTTTCCCAGTAAGACTTTTACTCAAATTTAATGCCTTAAGAACCCTAAAACTTTACTTCTCTTCTTCAGAGTTGAGAAAAGTGTAAAGAACTTCCATTTTTTGGTTAAACTTTTAGCAGAAATTGCACACCCTTTCCTGCAAACCTCTCACAGAACTCTTTCTTAAAGATCATTTTGGTGTATGTTTTGGTCTTTAATTTGGTTTTTTTCAACGACTTTGACTTTGGTTTCTGTGGAGTTTTTACTTCAGGCTTCTGGTAGGAGTTTTGTCCTGTGCCTGCTTCTGGTCGGAGGTTTTTCCTGGTTCTGGTGGCACTTGTGTCGACGCCAAAGTTGACTTTGAACACTTTTACGTTTCGCTGATTTTTCAAGAGTTTCATTTTACTTTTTTTCTCGGTTCTTTTTTGTGTGCGCGCCCACATTTGACTAGAACCTCCAACGCCCCCCACAGAAAGTACTACTGCTGCCTGCTGCATGCTGCCTGCCTCTCGTGTCGTCGTCACTCATTAGAAAAACGTTGCAGAAAGTCGCACACCAAAAAAAAAAAAAATTTGCACTACGTGTTGCAGTCGAAAAAGAGAGCCAGAGAAAAAACCGAGAACCCAGTGGAGAAAAACCAAGAAAAACCCTCATGTAAAGAGTTTGCATTGGCGCAAAAAAAAAAAGGAGACTAAGAAAAAGTTTATTACAAACTTTTCGTGAGTGAAGAAAAGGGGAAAAGCCTGAGAAAAGGGAAAAAACCTTGGTCTAAAGTTTAATATTTGATTTAAAAGTTGATAAAATTTACTTTATTCCAACACTCCACTTAATGGCAGCCCAAGCCCCAACCCCAGCCCCGCTACACTGTCCGTCGTGTTATTTGTTTTTTTTTATTGAATTTGTGCAAATGTTTCTTAGGGTCTAGCCAGGGCTGGCACTCTGCCACGCATTTCTATGGCATTCCATCCCTAGGGCTTCCTTCCTTTCTTCTCTTTTTTGGTTCGGCTGGTTCATGTCTCGGCTAAAGCGTTGATTTTTCATTTCGTCATGCAAATATGAAAAACAAATGCGGAAAAATGTGCGGCAGGCGGAAAGAAAATGGAAAAATTGTTCAAATGCTTTTGTTTGTTTGCTTTGAAATGGGGGAAACCCCACTGCAGCGAGGGCTAGAGGGGGAAAGAGCGGCACGGCAGGAACATTGGACATTGTTATGTGAGGCTCACAGGATATGACTGAATGCAGGAGCGGAGATTCATTCAGGTGCAGAGAGGGGCTTCGAATGGGAATGAACGGTAACTATTGAAATGGGGTATTAGATGGTGCTTCTAGGAGGGGTTCTAGTGGGATATTTAGATGGAGTACTCTGATACTGGAGTAGCTGTTACCGGAAGGAGTTTTGTTAAATATGATGGAAAAAATCATGCATACAAAATAAAGCAGCAAAAATAGTCATCGAATTTTCAATAAAATTTACCCAAAAATTTCAACCACAAAAATTTATTTATTTTTTTTGGTAAAATATTATTTCTGAATAAATACACCATTCCCTGCCCGCAGATATTTGCATATTTTGAAACGTTCATTCCATAAAAACCGCTTCAACGTGCAACGTGAAATGCAACCATGGGGAATATATCTACGGGATATGGCGTATCCATCCATACGCCAGACAGAAATACAAACAATTTTTCGCATGCTACCAACTAATTTAGAGGAGCCACCTCCTTGCCTTTCCTTTGCTATGTTTTTTTTTTCTTTATATTTATTTCTGAGCAAATTGGCAAATTGAGTTTGTTAGTCTCGGGGAGCTCCTCCTTCCGCTCCTGAATTTCCTCCTACTGCTGTTGCTGCCACCCTCAATGACATATAGAAATGTTGCACTGTCCCTTCATTGCTGCAGCAGTGGCACGAGGACTTGTACTTCCTCCTATGGATAAACCCAATTTGGCGCCCATGTCACATACGTCAACGCGACACTGCCACGCCCACTGTTCGTTTGGCAATTTGTCAGCTCTTTTCCGCCGCTATTTTCAGTTCTGTTTTTGTTTTTTTTTTTTTTTAGATTTTTGTTCATTGCTGCTGCTGCTGCTGCATCACGTGCCACACAACGGGTGCACGTTTAGCTGAGCTTATCATTTTCTCAAAAGACTTCTTTTTTTTTTGTTTTTGTTTGTCTATTGCCATTTCATTTGTTGTCTTTCGATGGGTCTCTCTCTCTCTCTCTTTTTCTGTATCCTTCCCTATGATGTCTCTGTTTGTAGGTATTTCTCTTTCTAAGAGAGAGAGCGCTGCTCCTTCTCTCTGTTTCTATTTAATATGCAAAACGTCAACTAAACCAAAAACTGACAAAGTTGAAATAAATTTTTATTTCATGGACCCGCCACTCTCTTACGTTCCGTTTTTCTATATTTCGGCAATGAACTTGCCGCAGATTCAGTTCAGTTTAGAGCAAACGAAAACGAGAGAGAAAAATCAAGCATTTTTTGCAGAACCTATAAATACTCTTCACGTCATTTCTTTCAAATGAAATATGATGAATAAGGAGAAGGAAGCCATAGAAAAATCGTAGAAAAATCATTCAGTTTTTTGGATAACTTTGCTTCAAAAAAGCACCGATCCTTAATATCGATTGCTGATCGGATATTGATACTTTTTCTGAGCTATTTATCAACATACATATGAAAAAGTAAAAGCCAATCTTTGACTTCTCTTTCTTTGAAGTGAAATCTGAAGAATTTCGAAACTTTCTTCCATAAAAAATAGACAGGGGAAAATGTCTTTTAATGGCAAACAATAAAATACTCATAGATTCTTATAAAATCCAAAAATATTTCCCTCTTTCTTCAGCAAACCTTATCCAAAAATCAGTATACCCTCTGGTAATGTATGGGCATCTATAAACATTCCCTAGCCGTACCCTTAGCCTTGGCGTAGAACCTTCTTTAGGAGCGCCTCCTAAAAGGGCAAAAAGCTTTTTGGGAAATCCCATCACGTAGCAGACGGCGCGAGCTAAAAGACAAAACTGCACACGAAGAAATAGCAGCAGAAAACCTTTCCCGGTTTCAAGCTTTCCCGCTCGCCCTTTACAGGGGTAAAATTTCCCACCAAATACGAGTGAAAACTTTTTAATTTTAATTTCATAAATGCAATGAAGTGCAACAACTGGCTGCAGTTTTCGAGAATCATCATCATCCGTAGCCACTGCCACTGCCGCATCCGAATCCTCATCTAAATTCAATCAGAGATGCAAGAGGCAGATGCTGTGGCAGCCAGCAAGGAGAGGCACAGTGGCACAGTCCGTGTGGCAGTTGCAGGACTGTCTGCCTGCCTGCCAGCCTGCCACCTGTCCACCGAAATTGCTTAGTGCGGCGGAAATCATCATTTTCCAACTCCCGTAACTGAATTTCCCCCCAGCAGTTCGCCAGCAAAAAAAAAAAAGTTTTGTCATCCATGGATAGATGACGTATCCACCTTTCAAATGCATGCCACACGCCCTGCCACACACTCGAAACGTGTGTGTGTGTGTGGGTTTGTGTGTTCGTTTGTTTGTGTGCGGGGGAAATATTTTCACGTTGATGCCACACGGCATTTGCATATGCCCCGGATAATGGTACGGCTGCGGGTTTTCTGTGTGTATTTTTCCTCCTCATTTTTTTTTTGTCATTCAAAAAACAATTAACGTAAAAAAAAAATGGTATAGTGACTCATGGGACTCGGCTTTTGGGTGCAGAGAAAATTCACTGGCATTTAGATTTTTTCACGTATTTTTATGAGGCAAAAGCCAAAAGAGAAAATGATTCCCAGTGCCAGTGCCAGTCATCGTCGTAATGGCAGCACGGGTAGTGTGGTAGGTGTGGCAGGAGTGTTCCTGTAGGACGTGGCAGCCTTTTCTAAAGCTTTTTCTGAATTTGAATTAATCAGAAAACGAGTTAATCGAATGGGAAGCCACATTATTGGAGGGACTATTGATTGGTGAAGATTGGGGAAAATATTTTCTAGCACTAAAAAAAGGCATTACTTGGTAGGTTTAAATTAAAAGATATTTTCTTTACATTAAAAAAAAGTTCATAAGTGCCCCTTTAATATAGAAATTCTAAACCCAGCCTGGATGTTATTTTCAAGGCAATTCATTTATGTAATTTCCATCCAAGAACTTTGAAATTTCCGCTACATTCAAAGGCTTTTGTGTTTCAGCTTTTAAAAGCCGGAAAATCTTTAACTTTTCCAAAATTTCATTTTATCAATTCTATAAAATTCGATAAAAAATGTTCGCCACTTACCATTTGCTGTTGACTCTTTGGCTTCTTGACCAAATCGGGCACCTTGAAGCTGGTAACAGCCTCAATAACCTCAGCCAGCAGCAGGCCATCGCGACAATCTGCTGAGAGATCTGTGACTTTTCTTTTCGATTTGGCACGCTCCAAATAATAGTTGGCCCAATCTGTGTAGATCTGCAAAAAAGGCAAATGAAAAGAGTATAAATATACATGAATATATAAATGAATATAAATGCTAGCTAAATGGCAGCCTAATGGCATATTCAGGCTGTAATTAAGAGCCAGCAGATACGAGAGTACTGTACTTCCGCACAGCTGTGCCCCCATGGGATGTGGATGCACCACACACACCACAACGTTGGTTGCAATCTCTTTTACACACAGATTTTTGGGTTATCAGGAAATCATTAGCCATTATCCTTCTTCGTTCAGGGAAAGAGAGGAGCGCCCTGGCTCCTCCTAGAGAACTTGCTTCCCTCTGCTACGGAGGCAAGGACATATGCACAAGGAATGCCAAGGAGTCAGCAAACAAATTAAAATTGAAGACATTTATCCACACCCCCTCCCTGCACACAAGAGGAGAAGCAAGACAGGGGAGAGGAGTCTTTCCAAGAGGTCGTTAAGAAAATCTGTGGCACCACGAATCCTTTATATATGTGTTTAGTGTGCGTGTGTGTAGAGAGTGAGATTGGCCATATCTTTATCCATCTCTCTCTATTACTTACATTTATTTGATTCAGTTCTCAGTTCGCTTTGCTGTAAGGTTCTTTATATTCCAATACCCTTTAAGGAATAATCATGATTACGGCTTGCTAATTTATCCAAATATAATAGATAATAGAAAAATGTTCGATGGAGCAACACAAAAAACGAGAAAATATTCGCCAAATAAAAATTTCTGCTATTTAAATGGATTTTCATAATAAATCTTCCCAAGCCCAGGGCATTAATAACTTCGGATAGAATTGTGCTTGTTTTTCTTTGGCCCTAACTTAATTTGTTTGCCTTGCAACATTTTTATTAGACATACTGTATATATGTAATTATTATGGCATAGGACTTTTGTGATTTAATGGCAGATGAATTCTACATAAGTTTGAAAGAATGTGTTAACTTTGTGGCTCATTATGCTACAGAATTTGTAATACTCGTAAAATAAGAATTAGAAAATCATCAAAGAATATCGAAAGATTGTCTGATTAACGATCCAGAAACTGAATTTTTCTTTACGCAATTTTATTTTAAATATGAAAATATATTTTAGTTATTTTTAAACCAGAAATATAAGTTTTGAGGTAAAGTTTCTTATGAATAAATACTATTAAAAGTATTAAGTAAATGCCAAACAATATTTCAAAGCCTAAAACAAAGTATTAAGAAGTTTTTTCTGGCCTTTCCTTGTTCTAAACTATAATACACACATTTCCAGCAAAGTTCTAGAACAGAAAATAAATAAGAAATGCTGGAAACAAACTGTAAAGCGAAAACATTTCCTTTGCACTTTCTATTGTTTTTCCCCTGGCACTCGCACTCGTACTCTTCCGCCTTTTCCCTGATCCTTTAGGGTATTTGAAACTTTCCTTTTTGTTTCTTGGTCTCGGGTCTCTGGTCTCGGGGCATTATTAGCTTTCCCAGACATTTGCTGGCCCCTCACATCGTTAGGCACATCCTTACATAGTTTTTATTATGCCACATGCCACATGTCCTCAGCCCTATGCCCCCTGCGCGCCCCCTTGCAATGGTAATCCTAATGTGGCACTCATCTTCCTGCCCCGGTATCTGCCTCCTGCTGCTGCATATGCATGCGACACATTTTGTTTGGCCTTTGCTTTGGCAATAAAAATATCTTTCTTGCATTGTACTTTTGTTATCTTTTCTATCTTTTGCCAGCCTTCAGAGTCGCTTCTCTCTCTCTATCTCTGACTCTTCCAGCCCAGCCACTCTCTTCCTGCCCTTTCCCAGCCTCTCTTTCAACTGTTTTGTCTAGCTATTGTCCCTCCGCTCCACTGTGTTGGCCCTCCGCCACTGCCTCTACTGTTTACAGCCCATAGTCCCTTCTGTTTTGGCCCTCTACTGTTTAGCCATATTCCCCATTTGTTGTTGCCACAACCAAGTTACGAGCTGGCTTTACATCTCAAAGGGGGGCCGCCACACACACACACACAGGACACACAGGACAGACACAACACAACACACAACAATGGACTTGGCCCTGGACTAAAAAGTCCTGAAAAGTTTTCGTATGCAAGTTTTTTTTTCCGAGTACCTTATAGTTGTAGGGGGGTGTGCGAGTATGTTGTATTCGTCGTTGATTATATTTTAGGCAGAAAATATTTCTGGATAGGTGTTTTTTCTCCAAATAGAATCACTAGGGGAAACTCTATATCTGTGGGAATTCTAGGTTCTTGAGATTTTACAAAAGAACCCAAATTTGTATCCCATATTTCTGTGCCAAAAGAATTATGTGGCCTCCACAATGTACAAAAATAAGAAGCTTATTTCATAGAAAATGTAATTGTTAAACCCAAATACCGAAATTAATTACGATCTGAGGGGAGTATAACCCACAGTAAAAGTACAAAAAAAAATTGGACATAAGTTCCAAGGGAATTCCCTAAGAATCCAAGGAAACTCGTTGGGAAATCCAAGCCTATTCTTTAGGGGGTCAACAATATTTTCTTCACATATATTTATTTCTGGCAATATATTTCCACATATTTTTTCTCCATGCAAAAATCTTCATAAGAAGTATATTTAAGTCTACTCCAACCTGTTTTATGCTTTACTATTATTGCCCTTGCCTTTGATTTCCATTCGGTTTTCCCTGTTATTCTTTTTCTGCTTTAGGCTCAGGATTTGGCTTTGGCTTTAGCATTGGCTTTGGCTTTGGCTTTGGCTTTGGGCTTTCGGACAATAAACTTAAAAACTTGTTACTGGAAAACAGCCGTGCGGGCGGGCAAAAGTGCAAATGTCAGTGTCACAGTGGCAATTCTGTCTCTTGCCATGGCTTACAGTACGAGTATATATGCCACTCGCAACACACACCCAACCCTGACAGAGAGAGAGAGACTCCCCTCTGTGTCTGCCATATATGAACTCCATATTTCTCTATAGCTACTTTTCCTTGCATTTTCCCTCTTTTTTTCCCCCATTGAAAACTACGAGTAAAACTTAGTTATGGGACAAAATGTTAGTCTTTCTTTCGTTTACTAATTAATTTATAGTTCACTCCTCCTTTTGCCATCACATACAAACCTTGGCATAGTCCTGCGTCAGGATGCCATTGATGTTGTCGCAGGATCCCTGATAGCTCACACAGCGAGCTAACATTTTTCCGAGTGGGAAAAAAAAAGGAAGGGAAACCCTTTTTTGATTGATGGAGTTGATAATTTTCTCTTCTTTCGTTTTTTTTTTATTTTGTTGTTTACACTTTTACGCACATTTTCTTGATACCTTTTTTCCTTTATTTTTCATACACTTTTTCATACATTTTGTTGTTGATTTATTTTTCTATTTGTTATACATTTTTTTATACTTCTCTCTCTCTCTCTCTCTCTTTTTCTTATACTTTACACATTTTAGTTTATTTTTTTATTTGTTTTATACACTTTTTAACGCATTTTCTTCATAGTTTTTCCCTTTTTAAATAGATAAATAAACAAGGGACACTCTCTTTAGAGTTTACTAATCAATATCATTTCAAGCCCTTCACATTATGTAGTGGACATTAAACGTAATTTCTGAATGTAAATATTCTAGTTATATAAAACATAAAAAATATAAAGCCTAGTTGTTCAAAAAATCCATACCTGAAGGCTTTAAAGACGGGAACCCTAAAAATTGTCTCTAAAAAGTACTCCCCAACCCACAGGCACAGGCTCCCATCACAATCTAAAAACCCAACTCATTCGCTATGAATAAGCACACTACCCCGTACACTTATCACACATTATGCACCTTTCAACCGCAGCGCCTGTTTATGGGCCCGCCACAGAACCCTCTCCTTCCCCTGCCTTTCCCCTTTTCACGTGGTTTTTCTCTCCTGCTTATGCTTTTTTCATAAATATAAAATTACAGCCCCAACGGATGGCCGACATTTTGTATTCTTTGCTTCATTATTGTTAGTAATTTTTTTTTTTTGCGCGCGCGCAAAGACCCATTAAAACGTCAATTATGATAAAGTTTTATTGAAACGCCACACGGCGCTGAAAGGACATTAAAGCTTATCAGCAGGAAACAAGAATGAACTTCAGAAGAAGGCCAGCAGAGGAGACCCAACGAGAGAGGTCCTTGAGGGTAATAATAATACCCACTAAAAAACATTAGGCAATGCTTTTACACTTTCACTTTCACCCTTTTCAAAAAGCGTACCCTGCTCTACCAAAATTCTGCTTTCTGTACCCTATACAACCCTTTTTGCTGTCTCCTGCTGCCCTGCCTTCCTTCTACATTTTCCCCTTTTTTCCAAAGGTTTTCGTGTTGAAAATCACACGCCCACTTGGGCAAACTAATTGAAAATGGAAAGTGCCACAAACACCTCTACGGAAATGGGTTTTTCGGTGGAGCTTATGCATAATTGGAGCCAACGTCCGACACCCTTGTCAGCGACATTTCAGAATCCGTTTAGAGCAGAACTTTGTTGTTGGCCAAACAATTTTGTTAGCCTGATAAATTTTCTAGTTTTCGGTGGGGGTTGACAAATCGTTCAGGAAATCAATTTTTGTGTGCGAGGCAAGTATGAAAAAGGTCAAAACAGTAGCACCATTTACCAAATGAATGAAAAAGGGGGAAAAAACCCCCAGGAAAAGCCTCAGTCTATGTCTCAGCCACGCCCTTATCTTACATGGGGGGAAATGTCAGTCGGAACGGGGGGGGTAGCCACTTTTCCGAGGGGCGGGTAGCATTTTTGCCTCGAGTAGTACTTTTACCTTACATTTTTCGTTCTTCGTTCGTTTCGTTCGTTTCGTTTCGCTTCGTGCAAAATGTCAGTGGAAATGTCACAAAAATAAAAGTAATGCTGATAAAAATTTTATAGCTTGTCAGAGAAAATGTGCAAAAACAAAAAACACAAAAAACAGGAAAAATAAAGGCCCTCTGGGGGGGAGAGCGCCAATGTTCTGTTCTGTTCTTTATCAAAAAAGATGTCGCGACTTTTGGGTACTTTAGTTTATTGG